GGTGCCGAACAGGCCAGCCGACAATGCAGACTGCGACCAGCCTAACGATGTATAAACAGCTTAGCTCTGTTGTTTCGATCGGTGCGACGGACGGAGAGGATGGATGGAGGCAGAGGACGAAGCGGAGATGGCATTCACTGTGGGCGCCGGGTCGCTTCCCTTGCAACTCATTGTAGACCGAACACGTTGAAATTACGGATATTTCAGCGCAGCGGCTTTCCGAGACGAGCTGCGGCTGGGTGTAGTCCCGCTTCTCGGTCCGCTCCGCCTCCATGGACCATGGAGTCGGCACCTCTCAATTGCTTTGCGTGTATGGGAAGCAGCTTCCTTCTGCCATCACTCTTTGTTTCCGAGACGTGCGGAGGGATAGGGTTGGATGCGAAGGTAGTGGTGGGATGGGAAACACTCATTGCGAGCGCTCGGTGCCTTCCCTGCAACTTGCAGTGGACCGATCACCTTGATGTCGCGGTGTATGCTCGAGCGCAGCGGTGACCGAGACGAACAGCGGCTGAATGTAGCCCCGCTCCTCGGTCCGCTCCGCCTCCATTTGCCTGGCCGCGGTGGTGAGCCCGTGAGGCATGTGGCTGCCCAGACAGACTATGGAAACAGCATCTCTCAATTGATCTGCGTATATGGGAGGCAGTTTCTTTCCGCCACCAGTCGGGGTACCCGAGGCGTAGCGGCAGCGGGGGAGGTATGGAGTGTGGGGGATCCACAGGACAGCTCAGCAGTTGCGCATAGCTCTATTGTTCGGGAATTGCCCTCGGAGTGCGACAGCGGGTCGCAGCTACTGAACCCTCGGTGAGGACAGTCGCAGAGAATAGGTTGAAATTTCAGGATTGGTGCTGAGGATACGGCAGTATCGCAAGCTTCGGCCGCGAATGTTGGACTCCCAGCTACCTTCGGTGAGGGTTAGAATTGAGATAGGTATGAGGGGAACATCATCACCTCATCGGAGTGGGCGGGAAGGACATCAACTGATGTTTGACTCTGCCACGCCAGCCTGCCTGCACATAAACAGTAGTGCAACAGTGTAGTGCCGATCCAGTAATGCAGTTGCGCCACACATCTGTGGCAAACAGGCCAGCATGTGCCAACTGTGCCAGCATCACAATGTGTACACTGCTTACTGCTTAACTTGGTCGCCAAATAGGTGCGGCGGACGGTGACGCGTTTACTAAGCTACTGGCTGCCCTCAGAGAGGGCACGAACCGTCATCGATGAGGGCCCTTGCCATGGGAAGTCTCATGGGTATGTGAGATGATGTTGGGGAACGGTGGGAGGGGAATAGCTTGCTGAAGCCTGCAGATATAATACTTTGTGCCCTCTCGGGCTTCTCTACTTGCCCGTGCCTCCCTGCATTTCCTGCTCCGCTTAGTCTGCGTTCAAGTGTCTTACTGGTTGCTGCACACTTCGGTACGTCCTTTTACTGCATCCCAACGCTTCAGGCTTCGTCTTTGAGTTTGCACAACGTCAAAAAAGGAGGGGGGGAGGAGGGGGAGGAGGAGGGGGAGGACCTTTTGACCTTTTGACAGAGCACAGGAGGGTTGTGCGGGAGGGTAAGGGGGGGAAGGAGGATGGGAAGGGGGAGGGGGAGGAGGAGGAGGAAGAGGGAAAACCAGAGTAAACCCAAGATGCATCAACCGATGCTGCCACACACCCTCCCGTCCCGTATTCTTCTCTTGAATGACGAGCGGCCAGTGGGCCCGCCACTCAGACGAGGCCGCCTGTCGCAGAGGATCCTCCATCCACTTAACGGACGCCCAGGGTAGCCCCATTTTGACCAGCACATGCCGTCAATAAGTCAAAGCACTGCAGGATGTCAGGGTCGTGAACGCATGCTTCGCGGAAATCCCACGCGAGAGCCCTTCAAGGATAGCCTCAGTTTTGACATGAACACGCCATCCATCCGTCTAAGCATTGCAGGATGGCGAAGTCGTGGACGCATGCGTCGCGGACGCCTCACGTGGGAGCCCCACCTCGAAAGAGGAACCGCCCTCAATCCGTGTCAGCTTTGCGCAATATGGAACGCATGGTCGTAGGAGGCCGAGGAAGGGCCAAGCGAGTGTAGATGGTGAACTTTGAATTCATATGCGCGCGAGGCCAGCAGGAGACCCCAATACAGTTAAGGAATGTACCCAAAAGGCCGCAGACCCTGGAAGAGTTCTTATCTGATAAGGGCGGTGGTGACATCCATGTCCGCCGACCCACGATTGGATCTCCACCGGCCTCCTGGCCCTGAATTCCTTATCGACGGGTTCCTTATCCCATGCCCCCGCCGTCTTGGAAATGACTCGCCATCCACTCGTGCAGCTAAGGACAATGGAAGCCGAGCACGCACAGCGCCAAGTCGAGAACCCAAAACGACCCGCCCTCTATCTGGTCTTGGTTATGTAAAACGATGATGTGCGGCGCCGGCACAGCGAGAGCCCCATCGTGAAAACCGTTTGTGGTCCACGCGTCAACGCGATCTGAATTCATCGCGGTGACGAGGACGACGAAGATGAGGATGTGGTTGATGCTGCTGCTGCTGGCGACGGCGAGCCTGATAGCGTTTGGGAAGGATAGTAGCGTCTGAGAGCGCCTGGGAGTGCCTTGGACCGTCTGGGAGCGCCTGGGGCAGCCTGAGGAGCGCTTGGGTTCAAAATCGGAGTCGGCGATGGGGTGCCCGAAACATACCGATGTATTGATTTGTTCTGCCTTCTGTGCCCGGCGCACAGAACATAATTTTGATATAGGATGGTGAGGGATGGGTCGGATGGATGTGCACCGAAATGTATTTGCTGCATGGGAAGGTGGGAGTTAAGTCGGATAGATGTGCACCGAATAATACTGTTTGCACCGGTTGATGAAGGTTGGGTCGCGTGCGAGGGCAGCCTTTTCAACGTCGGGCCTGGGGGGCGGAAGTCAAAATCGACCGCCCAACGTGTCCAGGGGTGCGTCCTGGGGCAGGCTCTCGAGGTGGATCAGCCGTCGCAACGAGGAGGCTCCCAGAGGGCTCCAAAAACAATTGGCGGAAGACATACAACAACTTGCATCCTCGATCCTCGATCCTCAGGACGCGTGGAACGGACCCCGTTTTCATTCAGCGCGCGAAGAAAGGTAGAAGATAAACTTGTTCACACTCGGGGGGCACCTGTCCCAGGGCGGCTGAGAAGTTGACACCCCTACGTGGCAGGTTGTGGTATAAACCCTCCAGCCGCCTTGGGGCAGGCGAACCCGACAGCTGTTGCGGCGCAAGGCCCGTCTTCACAAAACAAACACGGAACATCGAAAAACGCTGGAGGACGTATCGCTCGCCGCGGCCGTTCCAGGGCATTCTGGAACGCTCTGAGAGCGTTCCAGGACGCTCTGGAGCGATTTATCCCGGTTCCAGCCCCGCCCGATGCCCTTTTGTTGAGTAGGGCTGGGGGATCAGGTCTGCAAAACACCCCAAACGGACGTCAAGGGGTGCAACCAGCCTGTTCGGTCAAACTGAAACTGATGCACCACATCCAGCGTCAAGCCAAAACTTTGGACATTAGCGAATGGTTGGACTTTCCACATCGTCGTCGGCTTAACTGGCGAGGCGTTTGACCACTTTGACGCCCCATTTTTTGTGGTCTTGCAGAGGAAGGCGCTCTCTGACCCTCGGCCCTACTCAACTCTTCTGTCCTCCTCCTCCTTCTTCTTATGATTATTATTATCTTTATTAGTATTATTATTATTATTATTAGTATTAATATTATTATGATTAATATTATTATTAGTATTATTATTATTATTAGTATCATGATTATTAGTATTAGTAGTATTAGTATGAATATTAGTATGGTTATTCCTGTTCTTAATAGTAGTATGAGTATTAGTATTATTATTTCTATTAGTATGATGATCGTTGTTGTTCTTAGTATTCTTATTATTCGTATTATTATTAGTATTAGTAGTATTGTTATTATTGTTATTATGAGTATGATTCCTCTTCTTCTTATGTGTAGTAGTATTATTATTCGTATTATTATTATTATCATTCGTCATCTTATCCGTAATACTAGTATTATCATTATTAGTATGGATATTCTTAATACTATTACTATCATTATTATTATGGTTATGCGTCTTTTTATTCTTCTGAATCGTCTTATTATTAGTAGTATTCTTATTATTATTAGTATTATTATTAATAGTATTTTTATTATTAACATTATTACGAGTAGTAGTCGTAGTATTCTTCGTCTTCTTCGTATTATCATTATTAGTATTATTTTCGTCGTATTATTCTTAATATTATTACTATCATTAGCATTATTATTATTACTATTATTATTATTCCTCTTCCTGTTCCTCCTCCTCCTCCTCCTGTTCCTCCTCCTCCTCCTCCTCCTCCTCCTCCTCCTCCTCCTCCTCTTCCTCCTCCTCCTCCTCCTCCTCCTCCTCCTCCTCCTCCTCCTCCGTCCGTAGCCATTTTGGCTCAAGCCCTTTCTGGCCCGAGTCGGATGTGCAGGGGTAGAAATATCAAGTTTTGGCGTCTGGGTGTCCTGGGTGTTGTCCCCCGGATCACTGGACTATAAGCGGTTACTGCGGCCTGGCCGGCCTTACGTCCGTCACGGCGCCGCCATGTCGCGCCGCCTCGCTGCTGACCCCTGGCGCTGCAAGGATTGCGTCACGAGGGACGGCACGCCGTGGACCAACCGTGGCGATCTCAAGCAGTGTTCCACATGCAACCTGCATAAAGGAGTCTGCTACGGTGGTCCCAACAGGCCAAAGGGAGCCCTGCGACCAAGTCCACGGGCTCACCCAAGGCATCTAGGGATAAGTCCGACACCGCCTCCATGGCTAAGCAGCTTGCCGACCTCCAGGCCATGGTCAAGAAGCTCACGGTCGCCAGGTCGCCTCCTCCTTGGGCTGCTGCTGCTGCTGGGGGGAGTGCTTTTGCTGCTGGGGCGGGCGTCGGATTGGACAGTGGGTACCCCCATGGGGCTCCCACTGGTGACAACGGAGGCACCGCTGACCCGTCGGAGAAGCAGGTCAAGCGTGACCGCATCAAGAAGATCAATGAGCTCCTTAAGGTCTATGATGGATCCTCCGTGGCCTCGGACCTTGCGCAGATCAAGTCCCTCACCGAAGAGAAGGAGCGCTTGGGCAAGGAGCTCGACGCCGAGCGCCCCTGAGAGGATCAGGTCACCTGCCTCGCCGCGAGGCTGCGGAACTCCCGCGCCAAGGCCAAGCGCCTTCGAGAGGAGCACGCTAAGAAGCAGCTGGTCATCGACGAGCCGGTTGCGAAGCAGACGGTGCTCCAGGACTCCTTGGCCGAGGCAGATGCCGAAGTCTTGCGGCTGAAGGAGGAGGTCCAGCGCTTGGGCGCCGACCGATCCCCTCCGCCCCCTGCTGGCAAGCCCACGCTCCATGAGCTGCTGCCGAAGTTCGCTGTCAACGTCCAGCAGCATGGCGAGTTGGCCGCGGAGCTCGGCTTGGACCCAAGCCTTCAGGCGGAGCTGGAGACGGCGGCCAAAGTCTTCGGGGGGCTCCGTGAGCTTCCCCGGGCGAAGCCGCCGGCGGCACAGGCGCCCTCTGCTGCCCCTGCTCCTGCGACCCCTGCTGGGGAAGAAGGAGGAGGAGTTGCGTCCACCGCCGTTCTCCTCGCGGGCCAGGTGCAGGCCCTCGCTGAGGAAGCTGCCAGGGACGACATGGAGATGGACATCGACCTCATGGAGTCCGCCGAGCTGCGGGAGGCGTTGGAAGCGGCAAGACTCACGCAGCCTGACGACGCCACCGACGCGGACATGCGGGCGGCGTACAAGCGCGTCCTCGACTCCTTCACGCATGTGGCCACAGCGCACAAGAGGAAGAAGAAGAAGGCTCATTCAGCCCCTTCCTGAGGGCAGCGCCTGCCAGCGCGGCTACACGAATGGCACGTGCCATGCACAGACCACGCGATGCGAGTGCTATGCGTCAGCCTGTTGTGACGGGCTGTGCGGCCATCAAACTGACAGGAAGTCCTACGGACGGAATGTCAGCTGCGGCCCCCCGTGCACTGACAGCACGTACCATGCACAGGCTGTCAGCCGGGGCCTTCCTGGCAGGATGCACCACGCACGGAATGTCAGGGTTAACGAGGGGCGCCCAAAGGACAGCACATACCCATGTACACGTTGCTCCTAGGCCGTGTCCTGGCTGCAGTGGTCCGCCTCCACTGGACGAAGACCACAGTGCGTCTCCTGCCAGTGGCCACTACTGCTCTAGCCCGTCGCCGTCAACCTGTGCTCCAGTCCACGCGTCTTCACCGTGTGCGGCGCGCCCGCGTGGATGGACCTCGGTGCTGTTCTGGTGCCTATTCACCCTGTTCGAGGTGGGTTATGCTGGAGCCCCCGGCAGCGGCGGGTCAGCAAGCCCCCGACTGGTCAGCTAAATTGGCTGACCAGTCCTTGGGCTTGCTCCGCCACTGGCGGAAAGCACCACCTCGATACCGAGCTGGCGGCAGCGACGCAAGCATGCCAGAGGGTCGCGATCCCTTTGTGCAGGGCCCCAGCACGGCCATGCCTGACGCTGGCGACGCGCACAGCCAGGTGGCGGCCAAGCTGGCCACGGTCAACCCTGGCTCTCACGGGCCCCTTCTCAATTTCCTGCCGCACTTCCTCGGCAAGGTGGCGATGGTCCAGGAGACGCGGGTGGTCGACCAGCGGCTTGGGGCCGTTCAATCTGCTGCGCGCGACGCAGGTTGGCACGGCCCCTAGGCCCCTGCCGAGGAGACGGGAGGAGCGCCCGCGGCGTCGCGCCCCAGTGGGGTCAGCGTGCTCGCGCCTACCAACGTGATGGTCACGACGCCCCCCGATGGGGATCACGTCGTCTTTCCACATCATGCCGTGGCAGCTCATGTTCACTGGGGTGCCCCTGGTGGTCTGATTGTCGCCAGCGTGCACGCAGCGCAGGGCATCGGCGTCACTGGGGCCAACCCCTCGATCCCATGGGCGCTTGCGAAGCGCGTGGCGGCGTGGAACGCACGCGGCCTCGACTGGATCATCGGGGGCGACGGGAACGCCGACGGCCAGAGCATCAACATTGGCGACTGGGTTGGGTCCTTGGCAGGCACTCTCCTCCAGCCATCGGCCTCTATGTGCGTCACCTCCAACGGAGCGCCCACCATCGACTATTTCTTGGTGGCCACCAACCTCGCGCCCCGTGTCTCTCGCCAGCCCGAGGTGATTCATGGACGTGGGAGCATTCCCAAACCCCACTACCCTGCGGGTCTGGAGCTGCATGGGAAGGACACGCCGACGCGGTGCCGCGTCCCCGATGAGCCTCGACCACTGCCTGCGGTACCCCCTGTTGGCTGTGCTCGTTTTGTCATTCCAAGGCATACTTTGGATAGCAGCCTATTTGCGACAGCAGCCACCGCGCCGCACTGGGTTGCTGGCACGGACCATGTCCAGCCCAGGCCCGATCGGGACCGAGGCAGGTCCTTCGATCACTTTGGTCCATTAGGCAAAATTAAACGCGATCGATCGGGACTCGCGGGCCAACGCCACAGCCGTCGGACCTGGGGCCATGGACAGGCCGTCGGCGAGGCAAGCACACATGATGATGTCTTGCAACAGATCTGGGACTCCGCTCTCCAAGGCATCGACTACGAGATCGCAGACAGGCACGACGAAGTTGGCCCTGGAGCCAACCGCTTCGTCGGGCACCACGGCCCCCCTAAGGTGAAGTGGCGGCAGCTGCGGTGGGAGCCACCTCGCAAGCGGCTGTACCACGACACCACAGTCTGGGCTTAGGCCACTGCGGCACGCTGGGCTACTCACCTTCGTGCTGAGCGTGATCGGGTCCAGCGTATTTGTCACCGGTTGGATGCGGTGGCGGCGCATGCGTCTCCAGCTCCCAGGCAGCTGCAGAAGACGGCCAGTGTTTTCAAGGACATCCTCTGCTTCCTGAGCTCCACTGTCGGGCAGGATAAAGTCCTAACCAACATCGGCCCCTGCTACCGCCAGCTATTCCTGCGCGGGCTGGACGGGCTGATTGCGGAGGACTTTTGATGACATGGTAGATGCCATCGTGGGCCGCGCGGGGGACCTCACTGCCGCGGCTCGCGGCGCGTCGGAGAGAGCCTGGCGCAGCTGGGCTCAGGCGGCCCTCAATGGAGGAGCGAAGGCTGCCCATGCTGCATCCAAGGTCAGGGCGCAGCAGGAACTCGCTGCTCCTGAGGCCGACGCCCAGCCATACATCCTCGCGGACCGCACCATGGACGAGTGGAAGCGGATCTGGGCAACCCATGGGCTGGAAAAGCTGTCTCTACCCACAGATGCACCTACGTGGGAGGAGCTGCCTAGCCTGACGGTCCATAACCTACGGCAGGCCATCCGATTTTCCTCTCTCGTCACCGCCTCGGGGCCCACCCGCATTCCACCCAAAGCGCTCGAGCACTTATCGGATGAGGCCCTCAGTAGGTTGGCCCAGGTGAGCGAGGTCTTTGAGCTGCACTTACGGTTTCCCTCAGACCGCCTGTATAGTGAGATGGTCCGTCTCCCTATGCCAGATGGTGGCCACAGGCTGGTTGTGCTTGGCCATACTCTCATACGAGTTTGGGCGAAAGCACGCCGATGGCTGTCGGCAGAGTGGCAACGACAGCATAATTGCGACGAAATGTGGGGCAATCGAGGCAGCCACACATCCACGGCCTCGGCCGTCGCTCACAATCTCGAGCAAGAGGTGGGAAGCCTCACCGGCGATCACACTTGTACCATCCTCCTCGACATGACGAAATGCTTTGACCTGGTGAATCCACATGCGCTCATGCGGGAGGCACGGGAGCTGGGTTACCCGATACGCCTGCTCTGGATGTTGCTGCAGCTCTACCAGTCGCCACGGCGCATCAAGGCGCACGGCAGCCTCTCGTGCTCGTTCGTCGCCTTTCAGGAGGTGATGGCGGGGTGCACGCATGCCACCTACCACATGTACCTCCTGACGCATCGCGTCCTCCAGCGGCCAGCAGGGTTGCGCCGACAATCAAGCCAAGTTCGCTGGTGGACGACATCGGCCTGCAGATGGTATCCCCCAACATCGGCGATGTCAAGCTGCTGCTGCGCACCGCGCACTGCAGAGGCCAGGGACCTCGGGCTGATTCTCCAACCTGCTAAGTCCGCGGTAGTGGCTGGATCAGCGCAGGTCCGCCTTGCGGTGCACGGGGCCCAGCGGCGGCTGCCCCGGGCGGTGCCCCAAGCCCGACATATGCGCAACCTTGGCCATGAGCTGCATGGCCCTCGAGTGCTGAGGAAGGTTGAGAAGGAACGCATGAAGGCCGTGCGGGGCCGCAAGCACCGCCTCCTCGTGCTGCGTCGCGCGGCAGGGCGCAAGGCCCCCCCCCCCCCTGCAGTGGAGCGTCGGGGTTAGCGGACGCGCCCCTACGTGAGATGCGCAACTTGGCCGCGGTGCTAAACGGGCGCAGCAGCAAACTCCACGCGGGCGCCGCGGCATAACCTCCTTACTCACCCTTCGGAGGAGTACGACCACATCTATCATGCCACGCTGGACCTGGCCTTGAACTACGCCGCCTGGATTTGGGATGGGCGCACGTCACCTAGCCGCCTTCAAAAGGCCTGGACAGCGCTCCATGAGCGGCTCGTCCCTATCAGTTGGGCCAATGCCACAGGTCCCCTGGCCGCGACGCAATTGACGCTCAGGCGGCTAGCCTGGGACATGAAAACGCCGCACGTCTTGCAGGACGACCTGGGCGACCAGCATGACATGCACCGCGCGCGCCCCGCTGACCTACGTCCGCTTTTGGTGCAAGGCGTGCAGCGCTGGCAGCACGACCGCCCCACCAGCCACATGCACTCCCACGCTGGTGCGCCCATCTGGCACCGCGGGCTCAGGCGCGCGGCCAAGGGCGCCCGCGCCGCAAGGCAGCTGGGAGCGTTGCAGGCGCGATGGTCTGACAACGTGCCCATGCCGATCCGCGGGGACATGAAGCTCGGCATGCCCATGCGCCCTTGTCAGGCTTGCGGGAAGGCCCTTGCGCCCGATGAATGCTGGGGCCACGTCTTCTCGGAATGCCCCGCGCTGCTGACCCACCCCCCCGCGGGGGGGCTGCGACCCATGGAGCAGGAGCCGACGGGCCACGTCCAAGGCCTGCGACATGCGCGGAACCCTGAAACACAGCAGGGCTTCGGCGACCCGCGCCAGCAAGCTCACGACAACCTCGCGAGTCGGGCCGACCCGACCCTGCCGACCCGCCGACCCGACCCAGCACCATGGAGGCCGAGGACGACTTCTTCCCAGGCATTCGGCACGGGGTCGATGAATAGGTCGACTTTGCGCCACCCGATGGGCACGGCGGCCATCAGGAGAAGGCGCGGCTGGACTCACACAGTGTCCGCTGCGCGCCACCGGCTGCTTCGGAACAGAGTGACCCGTTGTCCCCTGCAGCGGCGCCCCCAGCCTCGGCGCCCGATGCGCCGCGCGGGCGCGGCGGACCCGAGACAGCGACACCAACGCCGAATGGCAGTGGCATCTCCCACCCCCCCCAAGCGCTGGCTGAGGTGCGCGACCAACTTCTCCAAGCGATTCTTGGATCAGGCACGCCGAACTTCGAGCAGTCCTACCTCGTTTTTGGCATGCCCGAGTCTCCCGCCCATCTGCCACGCGCAGATACGCGGAGGCATGATGTCTGCCTTTGGGGCGACGCCCATGGCGTCAAGGGCCCCGTTTTCTTACACCGACGGGTCCGGTTACGACTCAGGTGTTCCCGAGGTGCGGTGATGTGGACGAGTTGTTGTGCAGCTTAACCCTTACTCTCGGCTCCCAATTAGGGCGCGTTCGGGCCCCTTCCGTACTTGGCGCAGACTGTCGGCCGTGCTGAGAGGCACGCGATCAGGGAGGGGCTCGA